CCGCACCGGGTGACACCATTTTAGGGGTGACACCCGATTGAAAAATTGCATATTTACAGGGCACACATTGCTCGCAAAAACCGAGATTCATAAAAGAATAACCGATCACACATATATTTTTCACAAATGTAACCAATCCAAATGCGTGCTTTATTAAAAGTTCAAGGTTGATGCTATACTGTGGACTTATTTTAACAAGAAATAATCGATCATAGAAGTTTGGGGGGGGGGGGTGACACCATGAGTTTACCGCACCGGGTGACACCAACCCTAGCCACGCCACTGCCTATGCCTACTGATGGTCTGCGAAAAGCATATACATTTAATAACTATCCTGAAATTCTGACACTCTTTTTATATTTCTAATCAAACTAATCGGCACCTACTCTGTAATATCTCTAATAAAGCTAACTGTCACTTACTCTGTTTATAAATCTAATAAAGCTATTATTACTACTATTTTATATCTGTCCATTCTACCTAGATTTACTGTATGTGAGAGGACCATCATTACAGTGAAAGTGATCTTCCACATGATGCCACTTATCCTACCCATCTTCTTGTCCACATACCACTTATCTAACATAACTTTTTGTCCACATACCACTTATCCTAACCGCCCTTCTTGTGCACACGCCACTTATCATCCCCGTTCCTCTTATCAAGTTTCCATTTATCCTACCTGCCCTCTTTTCCAGTTTCCACTTATCCTACACGGCCTGCTTGTCCACATACCACTTATCCTACGTGCCCCTCTTGCCCACATACCACTTATCCTACGCTCGCCTCTTGTCCACATACCACTTATCCTACCCACCCTCTTGTCCACATACCACTTATCCTACACGCACATCTTGCCCACATACCACTTATCCTACGCTCCCCTCTTGTCCACATACCACTTATCCTATGCGCCTCTTGTCCACATTCCACTTATCCTACCCAGCCTCTTGTCCACATACCACTTATCCTACCCGCCCTCTTGCCCACATACCACTTATCCTACGCTCCCCTCTTGTCCAAATACCACTTATCTTACCCACCCTCTTGTCCACATACCACTTATCCTACACGCACATCTTGCCCACATACCACTTATCCTATGCTCCCCTCTTGTCCACATACCACTTATCCTATGCGCCTCTTGTCCACATTCCACTTATCCTACCCACCCTCTTGTCCACATACCACTTATCCTACGCGCCCCTCTTGTCCACATACCACTTATCCTACCCACCCTCTTGTCCACATACCACTTATCCTACCCGCCCTCTTGTCCACATACCACTTATCCTATGCGCCTCTTGTCCACATACCACTTATCCTACCTGCCCTCTTGTCCACATACCACTTATCCTACCCGCCCTCTTGTCCACATACCACTTATCCTACCCGCCCTCTTGTCCACATACCACTTATCCTACCCGCCCTCTTGTCCACATACCACTTATCCTACCCGCCCTCTTGTCCACATACCACTTATCCTACCCGCCCTCTTGTCCACATACCACTTATCCTACCCGCCCTCTTGTCCACATACCACTTATCCTACCCGCCCTCTTGTCCACATACCACTTATCCTACCCGCCCTCTTGTCCACATACCACTTATCCTACCCGCCCTCTTGTCCACATACCACTTATCCTACCCGCCCTCTTGTCCACATACCACTTATCCTACCCGCCCTCTTGTCCACATACCACTTATCCTACCCGCCCTCTTGTCCACATACCACTTATCCTACCCGCCCTCTTGTCCACATACCACTTATCCTACCCGCCCTCTTGTCCACATACCACTTATCCTACCCGCCCTCTTGTCCACATACCACTTATCCTACCCGCCCTCTTGTCCACATACCACTTATCCTACCCGCCCTCTTGTCCACATACCACTTATCCTACCCGCCCTCTTGTCCACATACCACTTATCCTACCCGCCCTCTTGTCCACATACCACTTATCCTACCCGCCCTCTTGTCCACATACCACTTATCCTACCCGCCCTCTTGTCCACATACCACTTATCCTACCCACCCTTCTTAGGTAGGACCTAAAGCAACACCTACTGGAATACACACCGAACGAACTGCCCCATTTTATATATGAATGTCCTTTATGAATGAGCCCCAATTAAACGGTAAGCCCAGATGAGAGATAGCTCCAGAGCTAAAGGACAACACAAATGTTTAAGCGCCTAGGGACCAAAAGTTTACAGTGCCTTATTTTAATGACTGATAAAAATAAACAACAAATTTAATCGTCCATGTCAGAAGTAGGACTGACAACAGCTACCAAGATATGTTTCCTATTGCCTTAAAGTGGGAAACGGGTACCAGGGAAGTTAATTGAAATTTCCAATCACAAAGCTACAGTCGAGATGTATGCATACAAGTTACAACTAGACAAAACACGTGCACTCTGCAGCCGTACAGGGCTATCAATATTAATTATATTACAAAGGCGCTGAGCACTGTGAAATTAATCATTTCCATTTATTATTTTCTAAGGCTTTTACAAATAATAATGCAATTGATATTATATTTTTTTTCTCCCCCTTCTCCCCCTTGGCACTTGTAAATATAACTTTTGTAAATAAATACTTATATAAAAAATGGCGTCACAGACTCTGGACAGTGTCCAGACGCTACACATGTCATCCTTTTCCTTACAGAGAGGAAACGACAAAAACAAGGACACGGAAAAGTCAGATGGGAGGAAAGCCATCATCTTGTTCAATGTTTATGTCTTTCCTTTTATATCTTTCTTATCACTCTGCACCATGCCACTTATGGTCCCAATCATTTCACACCATGCCACTTATGGTCCCAATCATTTCACACCATGCCACTTATCGTCCCAATCATTTCACACCATGCCACTTATGGTCCCAATCATTTCACACCATGCCACTTATCGTCCCAATCATTTCACACCATGCCACTTATCGTCCCAATCATTTCACACCATGCCACTTATCGTCCCAATCATTTCACACCATGCCACTTATCGTCCCAATCATTTCACACCATGCCACTTATCGTCCCTATCATTTCACACCATGCAACTTATCGTCCCAATCATTTCACACCATGCCACTTATCGTCCCAATCATTTCACACCATGCCACTTATCGTCCCAATCATTTCACACCATGCCACTTATCGTCCCAATCATTTCACACCATGCCACTTATCGTCCCAATCATTTCACACCATGCCACTTATCGTCCCAATCATTTCACACCATGCCACTTATCGTCCCAATCATTTCACACCATGCCACTTATCGTCCCAATCATTTCACACCATGCCACTTATCGTCCCAATCATTTCACACCATGCCACTTATCGCCCCAATCATTTCACACCATGTCACTTATCTCCCAATCATTTCACACCATGCCACTTATCGTCCCAATCATTTCACACCATGCCACTTATCGTCCCAATCATTTCCATACTTCATTCCACGCGGCATCACAAATTTCACCTAGATTAATTTATGAACGTTTGTCTTAACACCTTCTCACTCTTTTCGCCTCGAAACAACACCCCACCCCCCCCCCCACCCCAACTTTTGCCAACTTGTACCCCATTTAGATCCGCCACTGATAAACCACCCCCCACCCCACCCCAACTTTTGCCAACTTGTACCCCATTTAGATCCGCCACTGATAAACCACTACATTAACAGTTCTCAAGAAATGGACTTTTTTTATCTTCTTTATCATACATTGTCAGTTTCTATTAATAGATCCATTGATTACATACATAATTAGGCTACATTCCGCTGACACACTGGTGTTGACTTTTCCGTTTGTTCCTGGCGTAAGCCGATGATTCTCACATGTTTGTATAGGATTACTTTTTTAAAAAAAATTCATATCTGACCCTAACCCTCTTTCACTATAACAAGGTGATGGATTCCTATAAAGTAGTGGATACCTATTTCTCTAGAGTATAGATGCACTGTTTTTTTTTGGGGAGGTTGTTTTTTTCACTGCTTATCTAAATGATAGTTTAAAAGAAAATAGGTCAGTATCGACGTAGTCTCGTTTGAGAAACACTTACTTTCGTCGTGACTAAGTAGCTGACGGAAGCTGGGCACGGGTGTGTTGTTAGGGTTCAATCCGTCAAATTATTTCCTCGAGGATGCTACCCGGAGGCACAGCGTCCTGCTATCCCGTAGGGGTGGCGATTCTCGGCGCCGGTGCCGTGCTGAACGTGGTGGGGGTTGCCACCCCAGAGTGGGTGGTCAGCCCCACGTCTCACCAGGGACTGTGGAAATGGTGTCAGCAGGGCACATGTTATGACATCCCGGAAAACTCAAAATCAGGTCAGTGAAGATGTCCTTTATCATGAAAAAACAATAATAATAATTGATTTAACAAATTATTTCGATTTAAGATTTTAATTTTATTATTTTAAATTTTTGTTAACCCTGTTTCACAATACGTGATATACAGGATTAGAGATGATAAATATTTATAAAAAGAGAACAATGGCTTAGATAAATGAATGAATCAATTCACTAGCCTTCAGGTCATATAAAATCATAAGTAAATAGGTACTAGGGCAATGGTCGGCAAACTCATTAGTCAAGAGAGCCAAAAATCAGCAGCAGGACGATTAAAACTTTGCTGAGAGCCAAATTTATTTTCTAGAACCTGTCAAGAACTATGTTTTACCGAGTCAAGACCGATTGGTGGCCGAATGTCCGAGCCGCACTCAGGTCGCTAAAGAGCCGCATGCTGCTCGCGAACCGCGATTTGCCGACCACTGTACTAATGTAATATAAAATTGTGTGGAGGGGGGGGGGACGTTCTCCCTTGTCTTATACTGTCTGCGCCAAAAGTAACAACGCTGAATCGGTCGCCGCTTGAACGCATAGGTGCGTTTGTCACCGGTGCAGATCTCACGCCAACTCGTGTTACGTGATGTGCCAAGGAATTTGTTTTGGGCAGCAGATCTTGTTGTTGTTGGAAATGGGTATCTGTACGGAGGGGAAAAAAAGAATTATATTTAAACACCATGTTTGCTCGTACGTAACGGATTAAGTGATTGTTAAAGGAGATCCTTTTGAGAAAAAAAGATGTCAGAATAAGTCCAAATAGAGCTTTTAAAAGACAGCATAACGTATCGCAGTTGTGGTGTCTAGTTCGCCGTTATGAAAGAGTGTTGTGTCAATGGAAGAAGTGTAGAGGTTAAGGGAAAAAGGGGGGGGGGGTTGTCTTAAAAACAAATGTCAGAATAAATCTAACAAACCACATCAGGTATGGCAATTACTGTGTCTAGTGTTAAGAACATTCGCCGTTACGAAAGTGTATTGTGTCAATGGTCGACCAGTAAGGGGGGGGGGGTTGTCTTAAAAACAAATGTCAGAATAAATCTAACAGACCACATCAGGTATTGCAATTACTGTGTCTAGTGTTAAGAACATTCGCCGTTACGAAAGTGTATTGTGTCAATGGTCGACCAGCAATTTTATAATGACAATCAGGTCCGTTTGTCTAAAACAGCGGTTCTCAACTTGTTTGTTCACGAAACCTTTTGAAAATAAAAAGGGAAGAGGGGGGGGGGGTGGTTCGAACGACCATGACACAGGGGGTCGCCTAAGATCATTGGAAAACATATATTTAAGAAGTAGCGACGAAAATAATTTTACGGTTGGTTGGTCCCCCACAACACGAGGAACTGAATGAAAGGATCGCGACATGTAGGAAGGATGAGAACCACTGCTCTAGAACGTGCCATGTTCGCACCCGCCAAGTCTAAGGGGGAACACCTTTCAAACTTAACATATTATGTATAAGCATGTAGCAAAAGACATATGTTCGCCGATTTTTTAAGAAAATATGTACATTTTAATACGGAAGACTATTCGGCCAACGCCTTAAATAGTAGGAACAAGATCTGTGAGCCAGTATGATGTATTGTGGAGATCTCTGGCGATGGTGTAAGAGGGTCCCGTTTTATAGGAACGCACTAAAGCTTAGAAGGTCACATTCAATAGAAGTTGATAAAGTTTACCCTATTATTATTATTATTTTTTTTTTTTTTTTAATCAATGTCGGAAATATTATTTAGCTTTTTTTTTTTCAAAGACGGCACAATTGACATCACCATTGACGTCACCATTAACGTTTATAAAGTTTTCCCTATTATTATTATTATTTTTTTTTTTTTTTTAATCAATGTCGGAAATATCATTTAGCTTTTTTTTTTTCAAAGACGGCACAATTGACATCACCATTGACGTCACCATTAACGTTCCACTGACGTTCACTATCGTTTGAATGAAAATCTCTCTCAAATCTGAATATTTGTTCTCCGTACAGTTAGAACCATTTCTAACAAAAACTGCTCGACGGGACTTTATTACTAACAGACCTACAGCCCCACAATTTCAGCATGGTTGGTTACCTGTCCTTTTTTCCCCCAAAACATTATTTAAATACATTATTACAAATACTTACATTTTATTGTGGGTAAAAATATTATTTCACACCATTTGAAAAAAAAAATATTTAAATATTTTAAACCTTTTCTCAGATGTTTTCAAAGTGTGCGAAACTTTCGCTATCTTGGGTGTGATAGCCAGCGGAGCCGCCTTCGTGTCGGCGCTCCTGTATCTGGTTCTGCCCATGCTGAACAAGAGTTCCCATAAAATACTTAATGTCATGGCCTTACTTTTGGGATTCGCTGGCGGTAAGAGGTTGTCAGTGTCAATGTCATTACATTCTAGTATCTAGAAACCATACCATTACATATGACAATCATATGCTAGATGACAGCGACATACTAGATGACAATGACATATTAGAGTGGGCCACCATAATATCCTGAATTAAAATGGCATACTAGAGGACAATGGCATTCCGGATGACCATGACATCCTGCCTGACAATGACATCCTAACTGACAATGATATCTTGGATGACAATGACATTCTGGCTGATAATGACATCTTGGGTTCCAGTGAAATCCTGGATGACAGTGACATCCTGGATGACAATGACATTCTGGAGGATAATGACATTCTGGATGCCAATGACATTATGGATGCCAATGACATTATGGATGGCACTGACATGCTAGACGACCATAAAATAAAAATTATACACTGACTCGAACAAATTTAAAACCTAGGCAGACTTTAAAAAAAAATTAAGGTCGATGCAAACAGGTACTGTTTAGTTTGATAGACAGGTACCGTGTAGTTTGATAGACAGACATGTGCTGTGTAGTTTGATAGACAGACAGGTGCTGTGTAGTTTGATAGACAGACATGTGCTGTGTAGTTTGATAGACAGACAGGTGCTGTGTAGTTTGATAGACAGACATGTGCTGTGTAGTTTGATAGACAGACAGGTACCATGTAGTTTGATAGACAGACATGTGCTGTGTAGTTTGATAGACATACAGGTGCTGTGTAGTTTGATAGACAGACAGGTACTGTTTAGTTTGATAGACAGACAGGTACCGTGTAGTTTGATAGACAGACATGTGCTGTGTAGTTTGATAGACAGGCAGGTACTGTGTAGTTTGATAGACAGACAGGTACTGTGTAGTTTGATATACAGACAGGTGCTGTGTAGTTTGATAGACAGACAGGTACTGTGTAGTTTGATAGACAGACAGGTACTGTGTAGTTTGATAGACAGGTACCCACTATGCCACTAATTAAACCTGCACCTTTTTCTTCTCCCGACAGCTGTCTTCATCGTCATCTGCCTAAGTACCTGGGCGGCCAAGGTCAGGCCGGACCTCACTGAAGCCGACACTGACCTGGGGTACTCGTTCTTCCTCAGCGTGGCCGGGCTGTGCCTCGTCGCCATAGGCAGCCCTTTTGTATTCTTCCAGGGGCGGCGATTCGGTTCATACAGTTTGATTGGAGACTAGCCAAAACTGTTGTGCGAACACACCGGAGAGACCCCACCCCACACCCCACCCACCAACTACACATACACACGCACGCTTTAAGGCCGTGACGTCACCAGCGACGTAATGCTTTTAAAACCCCTGAGTAATGGCACATGCGTAGAGACCGGTTTCAATAACACTAACACGGTCAAATTATTATGAATGCATGTCAGTTATTTTTTCTGCTTGGATTATTGTAAAAAAAAAACACAATTTTTTTCTTTCGAAAAATGAATGAAAAATAAGTAAATAAATGTTGAGAGATCTGTTGGTATGAATTTTGCTGGTTAATATAGTATACTCCTGTCCGTAGACATTCCCAATAGTTCACATTTTGTAAGTAGAGACGGTCTATCGTTATTCATAATATACATTCTGCCCGTACACATCCTGTTGGTATACATTTTGCCGGTATGCATGCTGTCGGTATTCTGTGGGTGCACATTCGGTTTGTAAACATTTCGTCGGTATACATGATGTCGGTATATAGTATGTTGGTACACATTCTGTTAGCATACATTTTGCCGGTTTGCATGCTGTCGGTACATTTTCGGTGGGTACAAATTCTGGCTTTATGAAGTCAGCGATTACTGTCGAATTCTTCACAAAACAACAGCTGCTTCACACAACACATAAAGTTTATCCCTTTATCTGTTGTATGAATGGTTAACAATCTCTCATGGGGGGGGGGGGGACGGGGACGTTCTCCCTTGTCTTATACTGTATGCGCCAAAAGTAACAACGCTGAATCGGTCGCCGCTTGAACGCATAGGTGCGTTTGTCACCGGTACAGATCTCACGCCAACTCGTGTTACGTGATGTGCCAAGGAATTTGTTTTGGGCAGCAGATCTTGTTGTTGTTGGAAATGGGTATCTGTACGGAGGGGAAAAAAAGAATCATATTTAAACACCATGTTTGCTCGTACGTAACGGATTAAGTGATTGTTAAAGGAGATCCTTTTGAGAAAAAAAAGTGTCAGAATAAGTCCAAACAGAGCTTTTAAAAGACGCCATAACGTATCGCAGTTGTGGTGTCTAGTTCGCCGTTATGAAAGAGTATTGTTTCAATGGAAGAAGTGTAGAGGTTAAGGGGAGGGGGAGCCTTAAAAACAAATGTCAGAATAAATCTAACAGACCTTTAAATGAGACCACATCAGGTATTGCAATTACGGTGTCTAGTGTTAAGAAAATTCGCCGTTACGAAAGTGTATTGTGTCAATGGTCGACCAGCAATTTTTTTTATAATGACAATCAGGTCCTTTTCTCTAAAACAGCGGTTCTCAACTTGTTTGTTCGCAAAACCTTTTGAAAATAAAAAGGGGGAGGGGGGGGGTTCGAACGACCATGACACAGGGGGTCGCCTAAGACCTTTGGAAAACATTTAAGAAGGAGCGACGAAAATAGTTTTACGGTTGGTTGGTCCCCCCACAACACGAGGAACTGTATGAAAGGATCGCGACATGTAGGAAGGATGAGAATCACTGCTCTAGAACCTGCCGTGTTCGCACCCGCCAAGTCTAAAGGGGAACACCTTTCAAACTTAACATATTATGTATAAGCATGTAGCAAATGACATATGTTCGCCGATTTTTTAAGAACACATGTACATTTTAATACGGAAGACTATTCGGCCAACACCTTAAATAGTAGGAACAAGATCTGTGAGCCAGTATGATGTATTGTGGAGATCTCTGGCGATGGTGTAAGAGGGTCCCGTTTTGTAGGAACGCACTAAAGCTCAGAAGGTCACATTCAATAGTAGTTGATAAAGTTTACCCTATTATTATTATTTTATTAATTTTTTTTTAATCAATGTCGGAAATATTATTCAGCCTTTTTTTTTCAAAGACGGCCCAATTGACGTCACCATTGACGTCACCATTGAGTCACCATTAATGTTCCACTGACGTTCACAAATGTTTGAATGAAAATCTCTCTCAAATCTGAATATTTGTTCTCCGTACAGAGAGAACCATTTCTAACAACAACTGCTCAAGAAATGCTCGTGTTCATGGTCACGTGGCACGGCTGGACCTATGGACATGAGACAAACGCAGGTGGGCGTTCAAGATGCTGGAGTTTTGGCGCGTGCTAGATTTTTTTTTTTATATGTAACTTACGTTTTTACGTAAGCCGTTGTTACGTTGTAAAAAAAATCGCTAAAATCTCATATAATACCGAGTTAATTTTTAATAACTTTAAAAGAAAAATATTTAGTAACTTTATTTGTGTTTATTTCGTCTTATTTCTCCTTTATGAATTAAACAAAAATATAGAAAAGTCACATTTCAAAAAAAAAAAAAAATCAATTTAACTTTGTTTTTTCTTCACGAGACTTTATTACTATCAGACCTACAGACCCACAATTTCATCATGGTTGATTACCTGTACTTTTTTCCAAAACATTATTTAAATACAATATTACAAATACTTACATTTTATTGTGAGTAAAAATATTATTTCACACCATTTGAAAAAAAAAAAAGTATAAATATTTGAAACCTTTTCTCAGATGTTTTCAAAGTGTGCGAAACTTTCGCTATTTTGGGCGTGATAGCCAGCGGAGCCGCCTTCGTGTCGGCGCTCCTGTTTCTGGTTCTGCCCATGCTGAACAAGAGTTCCCATAAAATACTTAATGTCATGGCCTTAATTTTGGGATTCGCTGGCGGTAAGAGGTTGTCAGTGTCAATGTCATTACATTCTAGTATCTAGAAAACCGTACCATTACATATGACAATCATATGCTAGATGACAGCGACATACTAGATGAAATGACATATTAGAGTAGGCGACCATAATATTCTGAATTAAAATGGCATACTAGAGGACAATGGCATTCCGGATGACCATGACATCCTGGCTGACAATGACATCCCAACTGACAATGATATCTTGGATGACAATGACATTCTGGCTGATAATGACATCCTGGATGACAGTGACATCCTGGATGACAGTGACATCCTGGAGGATAATGACATTCTGGATGACAATAACATTATGGATGCCAATGACATTATGGATGGCACTGACATGCTAGACGACCATAAAATAAAAATCACACACTGACTCGAACAAATTTAAAACCTAGGCAGACTTTTAAAAAAAAAAAGGTCTATGCAAACAGGTACTGTGTAGTTTAATAGACAGACAGGTGCTGTGTAGTTTGATTGACAGACAGGTACTGTGTAGTTTGATAGACAGACAGGTACTGTGTAGTTTGATAGACAGACAGGTGCTGTGTAGTTTGATAGACAGACAGGTACTGTGTAGTTTGATAGACAGACAGGTACTGTGTAGTTTGATAGACAGACAGGTACTGTGTAGTTTGATAGACAGGTACCCACTATGCCACTAATTAAACCTGCACCTTTTTCTTCTCCCGACAGCTGTCTTCATCGTCATCTGCTTAAGTACCTGGGCGGCCAAGGTCAGGCCGGACCTCACTGAAGCCGACACTGACCTGGGGTACTCGTTCTTCCTCAGCGTGGCCGGGCTGTGCCTCGTCGCCCTAGGCGGCCCTTTTGTCTTCTTCCAGGGGCGGCGATTCGGTTCATACAGTTTGATTGGAGACTAACCAAAACTGTTGTGCGAACACACCGGAGAAACCCCACCCCCACCCCACCCACCAACTACACATACACACGCACGCTTTAAGGCCGTGACGTCACCAGCGACGTAATGCTTTTAAAACCCCTGAGCAATGGCACATGCGTAGAGACCGGTTTCAATAACACTAACACGGTCAAATTATTATGAATGCATGTCAGTTATTTTTTCTGCTTGGATTATTGTAAAAAAAACAATTTTTTTTCTTTCGAAAAATGAATGAAAAATAAGTAAATAAATGTTGAGAGATCTGTTGTTATGCATTTTGTTGGTTAATATTTTTGTCAGTATACTCCTGTCCGTAGACATTTCCAATAGTTCACATTCTGTAAGTAAGAGACGTTCTATCGTTATTCATAATTTTAGTATATACATTCTGCCCGTACACATCCTGTTGGTATATATTTTGCCGGTATGCATGCTGTCGGTATATACTCCGTGGATGCACATTCTGTTAGTATACATTTTGTCGGTATACATGATGTCGGTATATAGTATGATGTTGGTACACATTCTGTTAGCATACATTTTGCCGGTTTGCATGCTGTCGGTATATTTTCTGTGGGTACAAATTCTGGCTTTATGAAGTCAGCGATTACTGTCGAATTCTTCACAAAACAACAGCTGCTTCACACAACACATAAAGTTTATCCCTTTATCTGTTGTATGAATGGTTAACAATCTCTCACATATATTTTCTGTCACTCAAAATCTTTGAACAAACATTGTCTTTGAGGATACACATGCACACAATTAAAGATTATTATGTATATATGTGGTCGAATTTAGATATAACGTTGTAAATTGTGTATGTTTACAAGTTACTTTTGTTAATTACATAAAAGAGTTTGATTCCGGTCCCAGCTTTATATGGAATAAACTTTATTTTTATTATAAATATTAAATGTCTTGCATTAATTAATAATGAGATTTTACATGTAAAAAAATAATATTGTTGTAGTTGATTTTTTTTTTTTTTGGGTTGGGGGGTGGGGGGAGAGGTTCAGGATATCACCTCAACGATAAACAGTGGAAACGGGAGTAAGACTTGGAGAGAAAGAAGGAGAGAGAGAGAGAGAGATAGAGAGAGAGAGAGAGAGAGAGAGAGAGAGAGAGGGAGTGGGGGAAAATGATATTGTAGGAAACATTATGAGACTAGTGAGACATGATTAAAGTGCAGACAAAATATTTAACATACACGAAATCATAAAAAGAAAAAAATAATCAGATTAAGATATAGAAATCAAGAAGAAGAGGGACATTCGATGGGATATTCTGGACATAGGAAGAGGGAGATAGCGAAGTAAAAAAATATGTTACCACCATCATCAATGGCACATAAGTCCATTGTGGGTGGGGGGGGGCTCTGGTCTGCTTCACCATACCATTCCATTTAGACCATCCATGTGTCTTCACGCGTCTTTACTGGAACAATGCCCCTCAGTCCTGGTCGACCCATGAGCTGTCTGACCCTTGGTTTCTATCTAAACCACTTTCGCTCCTCTGTCATCTGGTATCCTGTCCAGGTGCACTGTCCAACACAGCCTGGCCAGTAGCCGTGACTATGATTGGGTCTTCGTACAACAAAACTCGTATGCTATGTAACAACTTCGTCAAGGATGTGAACTGCTACAGTATTTGTCTCCACCATAAGGATGAACCCCCCTCCCTCCTCGTTGTAGTGTTATTTTTAACCGTATATGGCACTTGAAATGTAGCTGCGATATTTTTTTAAAGTGAGATTTAAAAAAAATAAAATCAATAAAGATGTTTGACCACTCCACCACTTCTCTTGCATAAACACTACTCCATTGAATACCACTACTCCCTGGAATAATACTCCCTAATATACCCGGCTTTTCCAAGGTTTGTATTCGGGAGAGCCCATCTAAAGTGTTATCAGACTACACGTAACTTTAGGGTTTTGTCAAAAACACGTCACCAGAGTAGGGTACAAATCTTTAAAAAATTCTCACATGAAAGCCAGATTTTATATTAACCCTTTATTAACATTGAATGTGTGTGTGTCGAGATTCAAGCTGAGCTCAGCCAAGAAACATGATTTAAAGACAAATCTAACTTTTGTAAAAAAAAAAATTTAAAAAAAAATATCTTAAATAAAAAAAAGTTATTCACCAATGTCAATTATATTTTAATGTATCAAATAACAATAAAACAGGATAACCATTCCTAAATGGGTCATTTTAATTATTAGTTATCCCTAAGATAAGGTCATTAAAAAAAATCATGCAGATTTAATACTCTAACTCTATAGTGTAGATCAGTTAGAAGCTAGAAATGTTGAGTTGTCTCGCTTTCGCTAATACAGTCAGGGGGATAGCCAATTTTCTCTCTCCAGTTTCTTTTTCAGTCGACCTTAATAATTTACTGCTGCTACTGTATATGAATAAATAAATAATACATTTTAACTAATTTAAAAAATTAATTATACATTTTAAATAATAAAAAACATTAATAATACATTTGTTAAATTAAAAAATAAATATTATTTATTTTAACATATTTGTTTTGTTTCTTTAAAAAATAATCCTGTAACGGAAATGGTACCCGTGTAACTAAGCAAATGTAAACATAAAGCAAGGATTTGTGAATACATATTTTAAAGTATTCGTGGACTAATTCTTTTATTTCGGCATTTCGATAAAATATAGAAATTTTATATTTGTTTTTGTGGCTTAAAAAAAAAAAGAAAAGAAAAGGAACTCAAATTAAGAAAAATATATGTCGATGATAATTTCATTTTTACTTCAATACTTGGCATTGAAACATTTTTAATTATAAGTAAAGTAAATTATTCTTAGTCTTAGTTACTTAGTTTAGTTCAATCCTATAATTTATAAACCCAAGTCACATAAGTGGGTCGATAATTCTCCCGTGATAATTTTACTACTCTACCGTTTTACAGAGACGTGCTTTGTTGCGTCGGGTCATAGCTAGTTAACTAGGTATTAATAAAATAGTTGTGTTCGATCCACGATCATGACCTTGCACTTGAAAGTTGCATTTCTCTTTCTCCGGTGGTAAAATGATTTCTTAAAAATAAAATAACGTGTTCAGTCTATGACCTTTCAGTTTATAATTTAATGGCTTAATGGTATCAATATCAATAATGTCAATAAGTTTTAATGATTTAAGTAAAAAAAAATAGGTCAAGTTGGATATTAAATTTTAAATTTAAATTAAATGAACAATACTTCAGACACATTTTTTAAAAACTTATCTATTAGTATTATAATCTATAATTATACTTTTATTGTCATTGAACTCATTGTTAGTAAAGTCTATTTATATTATAGAAAGTTGGTGATATCCTTTGGATCCAAGCCAAAGTTATTTTTCTTTGTTGATGATAGTGCAGTGGAGCAATTTTGAAAAGGAAAGGTTCTATTTTGTGGCTGTGTGTCAGAGTCAGATAATATAAATATTAGGAAATTATAGGAATAAAGTATTAAAGTGTCTTCATTCCAATGCAGGTCATTTAAGTTATTTAATTTTATGAGTCTCTACATCATTTCATTATTTGAACAATTATCTTCATGAGACCAATGTTGCTTTTTTTATGTAGGCTAAACTAAACAGGTTGATCAGATAGTAGTAAAAGGGGGTGTCCATTAATTACTTCAACAATTTTTAAGCGATTTTTTACCCCGCCCCCCATCAACAACTGTCATAATTTTAAACACATTTTACTTTGTGCTGATCTATTTTAATAACACAAAATTGTAGAAAAACATTTTATTGCATCTTTAGCTTGTTTATCAAGTTAAACAGTTTTTACACTTAAATTTTATATTGCAGAATCAATGAAAATGTTGTTAAAGACTAAATATCATTGTTTGTGGAAGTAGAAATATGATGATTGTCAGTATAGTACACAATTGTAGCATAGTTTCTCGCAGCTATCATCTTCCGAGGGAGTAGCCAGGTGTTGCTTTATCGTAACAATGGTCATAGTAGCTGATTTATCATTTTCATCTTGCGGAACTGATATACCAGACAAGTCAACATCATCCTCATCTAAAAATTCAGCACTTAAAATAGAAGCATTGTCAGTGTAAGCAATAATTGCCTTAAGCTCTCTCTGTCTCCTGGCAGCTACTTGCATTAGTCGAATCCTTTTCTGTTGAGGAGCAAATGGTAATTTCTTATGCATTGTCGGAGCTGTTAAACTTTCTATTTCAACATCACTTGTGATGCAAAATAGATGTTACAGATTTAGCAAATCCGCTCAGGCAGCGACGTTATTATTTTTACTCACTTTACTTTCCCCTAATTCTCAAAATATCCTATTCCTACTCTATCAATACCATTTATCTTGACTGCACATGACACTTGAACCTTGCCCTTGTTACATACCTGCAACACGATTGCAAACACACTGCCCCAGTCATTTGCGACAAACAGAATCTACAGGCTAAGAGAGGCAATTTTTTACTTCTCTTGCACTAACAAAGTGTGCCAACATTCTGACAAGCTATTTGCAGTGCACGGACAGAGATACATAAAATAAATTTTATATTGTTAAAAGCCTAAAAATTATATAACTATTTTAATTTACACTCATTAAATTTGTTAAAATAATGTAATAACCAGTCAATTTTTAAGATTAAAATTTCAATAGAGAAAACTTGATTGTTGACACCAACTAATCTACCCCTCCCCCTTGACAACAATGGTCAAACATTCCACCCCCCCTCCACCAACCACACCATTTTGTGGACATAATTAATGGACGACCCCTTAAAGTTTAGTCATCATTTCATTTTGAATTAATTGTTTCTGACTTTGTGGTATCAATTTGAGAAACATAATATAATAATTATAATATTAATAATGAATTTACTACTTAGATACATATTAATTTATTCTAGGCCTACATTTTAGTACTTATGCTTACAATAAATAACCATGTTTTTATAATGAAAAAATAACTACACAGTTTCATTTTATGTTGTCATATTTTAGTTTGAATATATTCTTCATGACTAAAATCACTTAACTTTAAAAAATAAAAACTGCAGTGTTGCAATTAAATGAAGTATCTTGTCTGGTCTAAAGGATAGCATTATAGGTCAGCCCCCACCATCAGCTAGAAGTACAAAGAAGCTCATTTACTAATGTTAGAAAGACTTTCCATCACCTAGACAGCCATAAACAATAGGCCAGGTGCACTTTTTAGACTTTTCATCAGCTTATTAACACTATCCAGCCACACATAATGATTAAAAAGCTTTTTCCGTTAGATGAAAATTCAAATATTCAAGCCTTGATTCTGAATTTTTTAACAAATCGCCCACAATATGTCAAGGGGAATGGCCATATAATCATTAACTGGAGAACTAAGTACCCAGGCACCACAAAGATGTACTCTCACTTAAATGTCAGTGTTATTTTTTTGTTGTATCGATCATATATCTTTTTCTTAACATTCCCTTAAGAGAATAATGATTGCTTCACTCTTCCTCTAATTTATTCATGTATAACACTTAACATCTGACCTTTATTACATCTACAGAACTAATAAAAACATGCTCAGGGCCACCTTTTATTGCCATGACAACCAGAACAGGAACGGAGCATTATGATGGTTCCAATAAACAAGTGATAGCCCATGTTGGATCTTCTTCTACATCCAGTATCACAAGTCAAAACAGTAATGGAATAGGACGGCAGAAATCCAATTTGAGATCAGCTTCAGCAAAATATTATGATGTGGCTTCCACCATTCTTGGAGGCTCAGGAGATGTAGAGGAAGTGTTCTTAAATGCTGCAAAGGTTTGATAATGTCCTATATAATCTATCAAATTTTATTTCATTTGGAATGTTTTTCTTCAAATGCATCAAAATTCATATCTTTATAAAAATATCCTTTTAAATAATGTCAATTTTAAAATTTTATTTTGGCATTCTTTTTGAGACAGAGTATTTTTGGACTTGATTAGAAATTATTGATTTTATTATGGAAATGAAACAATTGATTCCCCCCTTTCTTGTAGGCCCTATGTATGTGATAAAAAAGATAAGTATTGTATCAGAACTGAATAAAGCGACTGTCACAGTGTTACCTTTGATGCTGCAAAAACTTAAAAAAACTGAATGCTTGTTTTTCATTTCCTAAGATAACCTTTTACTTAATTCAGTTTTGAAAAATTGGGCTGGATGTTCCTAGTGTTTATCCTTCATATTCATCAAATTTTTTTTCTTTATTATGTTTCATTGAATGTTAAAATCTGGATTTCATTTTCTTGATATAATATTGGAATGTATATTTAATTTTTTTTTTTTTTGAATGAGAAATGGTGCAATCATTTAAAATTTTGTAATTTAAAAAAAAAAGAATTTTGAATCATTTTTTAATTTGATACATGTAGATAAGATATTATTTCAGTCATGCATAACAAGAAGACTTAGGATTACATTGGAAATTAAATTTTAATCAACAAAGTATTACAAAACCTCCTAACACATGAATAATAAAACAACCTATTGAAACAGTAAGGAGTTAATAAGAGCTGATTTTGCTAGAGCATAGGGAATATAGACCCTAGTTTTTCCAAAGGAGATTTTTAAAGGCTGATAAATTTATTTGATGACAATATTTTGTGAAGGTCCTATTCCGTTTTTTAGTTTGCCTCTTGTTGTAAGAACTATTTTCAAATAATATGGAATATTGATTTTTTAGAATGGTAATCTGGGAAAACTTGAACAGCTTATTGGCCAAAGTGGCAATGTTGGTTTGGATATTGACTGCAGAGACAAAAGAACTGGCAACACTGCACTCATCTGGGCAGCAAAACGAGGACATGTCAAAGTATGCAATGTTTGCACTTTCATCTAAAAATTTTATGATATCCATTTTTAAAAAGATATTATTATTTTATGTTTGGAAACAAATGACATTTAAAAATTATGCTTACAGGACCGTCTTCTTGGATGTAATTTTTAAGTAATGTTAACCAACATGCTTTAACTCATTTATCTTATGATAGTTTGTCCGTCAATTTCGATCATGAGTTATCAATAGTTAAGTAAGCTATGTCTTATTGCATCGTCTAACAAAATCAAGTTACTACCTTTAAGTGAAATTTATTATAAAAAAATATTATCCCTCTAGATCTTCACCCTTGTGAGCCTTAATACATTTTTACATAAATCCATTTATTTCAATTTTTTTTCTTCTAAATTTATTAAACATACTGATATAAAGAAATTCTGCTATTAGCTTCACTGGAGTCAGCTGACACCAATGTTCCTTTCTTTAAGATAATTGAAACTTTACTGAGGCAAGGAGCTGATGCTACCCTTTGTAACCATGAAGCCCAGACTGCCCTAGAGACAGCTCATTCGTCCGTGAGAACCGTTCTGTTAGACTGGGTTGAAACGCAGAAGGATATAAACAATCAACTCTTGTTGCAGGCTGCATGGCAGGGAAATCTATCTGTAGTCAAGAAAATACTGGTTAGCATTATTTTAGAGCAGTTCTTTATGTCAAACATTTTAAATTTTTTGATCTGTTCAACTATACTGGTGAGCTGTTTTTGAAAAACTATAACTTTATTTAGTCGACTTAAGAATAATTTCTTTTTATTTATGAAAAAATGGCATTCACAAATAGTTTAAACTTTTACAATGAAAATACTGATAGGAAAAGGCTATCTTGTGTCAAGAAAGAAAACATGAAATAACAAAGAATCACTGGTTGCTTGTTGCATTTTTCCAAATCAAATTACAATTTTTTTTGTAAAATTCAACAGTGGCCAGAGATCACTCTGTTTATTCTCTATATACCATGTAGCTCCACTCCCCCAAGATGGGATGCAAGGTTTAATGACCAGTAAGACTGATAAAAAACAAACATAAATTACATTGTGAAATTCTCAAACTCTGTATTGGTGGTAAACATTCTTTTCAGACAAGTGAAAAGAGATCAGTGGATGTAAATTGTCGAAACGTTGAAGGCTTAACTCCCTTGATGCTTGTAACTAGGGATGTGCAACTCTTTGAGCGTCTCAGTGCTCAGCTGAACAGATATTACAGCCCTGTACAAGTCGCAGAAGAACTCATTAAAGCAAAGGCGTAAGTCATGTTTTGAGACGGGCCCCCAAATGTTACGACCTCCACGTTGTCTAGGGTTTTACAACACTTTCTTAATATCTATATATATATCACAACTCCAGCATGGAAATACAACAGTTCTTTTATTTACAGGATCCAATATCAATTCATAGTGACAAAGTTCAATGGCGATAATACTAACTCTCTAACTACTCTCTCGGCTGGACTCTGACACATCAGCTCACCTTTTGACCCCTGTGTCTCTCTCTCCTAGTACAACTACTTGACTAAGTCTTGACTGACAACTTTTGACGACTAACAACCAACCAACACACAGCCCTTTTATATCCCTAAAAATCACTCAGCATACACTAACATTCCACACCACGGACTAACTTCACACTGATCTCACGATCAACAACTTACAAAACACTCTCACGATCCACAACTCCCCTACCCAACATGCACAACAATCTAGTTCACAACAGAGACCTTGCATTTTTCTCATATATCTCACACTGTATTGAAGTGAGTTTGAGAAAACAAATTAATTTCAATTTTTGAAACTTAAGTTATGAATGATTCAAATAATTGAAATAAAATGCTCTCACATCCAATTTAGTTTACATAATAATCCTAATATATTTTGCTTTTTTAACTTAATTTATATTGTAATTCAAACACGGTCATCCTTCTGTAATCCTGATCTTGAAACCCAGGCCTTCAGATATTCTGACACTTTAAAAAAGTTTTTAATTTTCAAATACCAATTTTACTTTGAATTTTTAGCCATTTGAATTTCATATCGAATAAACTTTCACTTTAGGCTTTTCCATATGCAATGCAAAGTGAACTTGTTTGCTGCACTGAAACAGAACAAGAGAAAGTGCATTTCTTTAAGCATATGGTTGAAAGTTTTAAACAATTCAACAGTTTAAACCTGATATTCTGGTGCAAGAGTGTGAAGAATAGAGGAAACAGATTTGGACATTAGGAAGTCTACAAACTTTCAATAAAGCAGTTTTAATTTCTTAGGCACAACTTTATTTCCTATGTATAAGACACAATTTTTATAACTAGGATAGGACCCCACTTTCTTCATTAAGATTTATCAAAAGACTGTTTTATTCCAAGCTTTAGGTATAATTTGTTTGCTATAAGTTTCTTAGTCGACTTAAAAAAAGCCAATTAAAATGAAACATTTTGTTTATATATTTTATAAATCTGTAAACTCTAAAATTTTCATATCAATTGGTTTTGTTTACAGGGGACTTGTTGTTCCTTCTTTACTATAAATGAGACCCCCTAAAAAGTCATACATTTAATCTTGCCTCTTTCACTGTCCAACAGAAATATTCACGTGACAGATAATGATGGAAGGTCAAGTCTTCATTATGCATCCCAGTCTCGTGCCGGTTGTGCAGATAAATTGGTTAGCGTCCTGATCGCAGGGGGCATGGAAATTGGTTGGTTGTCATTATTTTGTTTTGCGATGTCGCAGAGGATAGTTCATTTCACATGCAATAGTTCATCTCCCATGCAATAGTTCATTTCACATGCAATAGTTCATCTCCCATGCAATAGTTCATTTCACATGCAATAGTTCATCTCCCATGCAATAGTTCATTTCACATGCAATAGTTCATCTCACATGCAATAGTTTATCTCACATGCAATAGTTCATTTCACATGCAATAGTTCATTTCGCATGCAATAGCTCATCTCACATGCATTTCATCAGATAAAATAGCGTTCTTTCTTAATAGACAGGCACTGAAATATGTTTTTGGAAGGCAGTTGTCATTTGTAGGCTTTCCTACAAGTTTCCTTAAAGCAGATTTTTTGGTCAAATGCTGGAATAAACATAATAAAATGTTTGATGCTAATCCAATTTTTTAAATTTTTATACGTAGACCTGTATACCGTCCAAATCCAGGAAAAGTAAATTCTTTACTAAATTTAAAATTAAGTTTTATAAAAAAAAAATCCTCAGAACTTCGTGATAAGAATTTATTTGCACCCATTCATCTGGCTGCCCAACTGGGCAACACAAATAATGTTATTGCCCTTGCGGATGGAGGCTCTGATGTCAATGTGAAGGGCTTTGCAGGTTCCACTCCACTTCATGTCACAGTAAGTTCTTGATTATTGATTTTAAAATTTGATACTTGTAAAAAAAAAGTTTTTGTTTGTTCACTTAAACATGGTGAATGAAAGTTTAAAAGTTTATGTTTTTTATTGGGTCATGTTTCCAAAAGTTCTGAAGCTGATTCATTTCCATTACGATTGTATTTTTTATGTCTCATTTTCATGTATTAACAAAAACTAGAATTTTATTTTTTATGTCTCATTTGAATATATCTAACAAACATTACAATTTTTTTTAAATGTCATTTTTATACTCTAGCGCCTAGGTCTTCTTACCTCCCCTAGTAAGTTTACTGTTCCTTTGAGAACACAAAAACTGTTACAAACTAATACTAATATCTTTTTTTTAACTGGGTTCATCAATTTTTAAAAAATTTTAGGCTTACAATGATCACCAAAAAACTGCAGACACTCTACTCAGGTATGGAGCAGATGTCACACTTCAAGATGACAGAGGCCTGACCCCAGTTGACCTTGCAAAGACCAGGAAGATGAAGACAATGTTGAAGGAGGCGTGGATAGAGGCCACTAAAGGCAACACAACAGGGACAGTATTGAAAGCTGAGGAAGGAAATGATACAAAGGGAACAGCTGTCAAGAAAAGACCTGAAGTGATATTTGATGTAAAGTGACCAATTTTACTTGTGTATACACATTTGTCTTGCCTTTCAAAGGATTCATAACTTTTCAATGCTGCCAGCTTGTAACCTCCCTTTGAGATTAACTATTATAATGCTTTCAAATATTAACTTTAAAAAAAATTCTTTGTGATCTAAATGATCTAGTGATAACTGTTAAAAATTTTTATTATTATTATAAAAAAAAAAAAATCATGCACACTTTTTGTAAAACCTTCCATTTAAAGTGGTACAAAATAAACTGAGTAACATTTGAAATCAGATCAAAAGCATTAGTTTTTATTTAAATGGATTGATTATCTGCTGCAGATGTCAGCCATGAAAATCACTCATGTTTTTATTTCATCTTAGGGTTTGCTAAACTCCCAGAATACGGTTCAGACATCTTCAGGTATGTCTTATGCTCAACTTTATTTTCTTTAATTTATTTTTTCTTTAAAATACAGGTGAGCTTATTTTTTTTTTTTTGCTGTCCCATTTATGTTTTTTTTTTAAAAATTCAAAGTCTTGCCATATTTTTTATAAGTAAAATATAACTTAATTTAAAAAAAAAAGAAAAGTTATATCACTGTCTTATGCTCAACTTTATTTTCTTTAATTTATTTTTTCTTTAAAATACAGGTGAGCTTATTTTTTTTTTTTGCTGTCCCATTTATGTTTTTTTTTTAAAAATTCAAAGTCTTGCCATATTTTTTATAAGTAAAATATAACTTAATTTAAAAAAAAAAGAAAAGTTATATCACTCACCTTGTGTTATTATTAATTATGTACATATTATGGGGGGGGGGATGCTAATAGGCTGCCCTTGACCTCATTTTTTCTCAGGGTTGATTTTCCATCTATACAGGTGCCCGAATACTATCCAATGTTGAAAGATGTAAACAGGCAGAGAAAAAGATTCTGTTAGAAGTTGAAGCCCTTAAAGCTGCCCACCCAAGTATAAGCAGGTTTGTATTTAAACTGGCATTCTTTGTTCTAAAGAAGGGGTCTCAAACTCGAATCATCCAGGGCCCACAGGAGTTAGAGTCTGAGTGAGACTGGGTCGCATCAAGTATTCCACACAAAAAAGCGATTACAAAGCAATAAAGTACAACTGTTACAATCTGCTCAGCTTTTACTAATAACAAAATTAATTAAAAACATTAATGGTTCTCAAGTACTAGGCTTCACTTACTTCCTCTTACTCCTTGTTGCCAGAGATCTGGCAGTGCTTCTTCTTAAACAGCTGAGCAACTTTGTCTTGAGTGAGGAAGCAACTGAGACCCTAAGTATTGCTTTAAGATCTTGAAATTTGACTGGTTTAAGTTCATAGTGAAAAAGAGCTTTTCACACAGATAATTACTCCCAAAAGGCACATAATCTGCTTGAACAACCTGGAAATTTCAGGGAACGTGGTGGGTAATGCTCTTATAATTTATCCATGCTTGTCTGTTTTTCCAATCACATCCCTGAACTTAGAATTGCACTGAAGATCAATTAGCTCCATTTGAAGTACAATTAGGGAGGGGTGGGGGTTGCATCCTCCAAATTGAAGGAGAAATGGTTTGCAAAAAGTTGAAGAGTCGCTCTGTCTGTTTTGAAGTCTAAAAACATGTGATCAAATTCTTCCTGTAGCAATGGCATCAGTATACATACTACTAAGGGTTTGCCCAAGGCCATGAGTACTTTGCCTGTTGGGAAATGGCAGAGGTTTCTCTAAGAGTCATAACACAAGTTTTGTGCAGAATTCCCTGACATTGTAATTGGCAACACTGACAAGCTGGTCTTGTAACTTCTTGTTGAGTACATTCAGCTCCTGGGTAATGTCAACAAGAAAAGCCAAGTACATGAGCCATTTGGGATCACTTAGTACAGGAACAACCACCCATCCTTCTCCATGAAGCTTTGAAGGCTAAAACGTGTTCAAACAGTAGGCAGAGGCAGGCAATTTTTATGAATTATTGATGTGATTGAAGATTCTATTGTAGGGAGAATGAATTTTGATTTTTTATTGAAGAAAAGGCCTTTTTGACTAACCCAATTTTGAAGGTGACCAATTTGACAGGCTCGGAATTTCCCTCACTCGTAAACACTGGCGTCAATTATAATAGGGATTCTTTGATATTATTTCAGGTTGCTACGATTTACACAATTATGGTTGTGTATTACCCACTAACTGACTTTTTAAATTTTTCTCAAAAACCCACTTTGGCCATGTTTGTCTCATAAAATGCTTTAAAATAAAAACTTATCATCTGATTTTTTACACAGGTTTTTACCATTATAATCAACGTCCAAATCTATACAAACATAATAAAAATCAGAATTAGACTAGTCCGTGAGATTCAACTGAAACCGTGAAATCCTAGTGTCTCATTTTTATTTACTTAATTTACATGTTTTAATAATTGTAAAGCGCTTAGAGCTTTATGGTAAGCGCTATATAAAAATGCCTAAATAAATAAATAAATAAACCATCATGGAGGGTCACATTATAGATATGAGAATGGGGAAAATGTGCGGGCTGCATTAACACTAAACTTTGCTGTCATGTAGCGGGCCTCAAAATATTGTCTTGCAGGCCGCAAATGGCCTGCGGACCAGTAGTTTGAGAACCTGTTCTAAAGATTTGAATACATGTTTTGTTTAAATGTGTGTGGATCAAAGGGTGGAGAGAGGAAATTCATCTATTTCAAAATCTTCTTCTCCTGTCAACTTTGGCATGGAGGTGTCACATGGAGGTGCAGTTGTGGACTTTTATGAGTATCATTAACACAGTCAACCTACTCCCGCCATAACCCTAAAATCAGAGTGAATGCTCTTAAATAAATAATGGAACAAAATATGATTAGGCTTGAAATAGCAGACAAAACATTTACAGGACGTTTCAGCTAAATGCCTTCTTAGCATGTGATCAATTAATTTGTTGTTGGGCCATATAGCCAAGTGACTCATAGGAATGGCACAAACCATTAGTTTTATTTTCTTCTACCGAAAAAGGTCCAGTCAAATTTTTAATGTTGCTGATTTCTTAAAGCATACATGCTGCACTGGTTAATATTTCCTACAGAGGTTAGGAAGAGATAAGATCACTGGTTAATATTTCCTACAGAGTTTAGGAAGAGATAAGATCACTGGTTAATATTTCCTACAGAGGTTAGGAAGAGATAAGATCACTGGTTAATATTTCCTACAGAGGTTAGGAAGAGATAAGATGTCAATGAAAAAGCAATAAAATGTATCCTTTGGTAGAGATAGTTTTAGTTGTCGCAGGCTTTTAATGATAATAGAATTGTAGCACTGCACATTTTGGTTTTCTCCATATTTAATAGGACATTAGCTATAAGAGAATCATTTTTATTATAAAATTTAAAAAATGATTTACGGTAACAGCGTAATGTTTAATGTTCAAAGGGAAACAACTCGTATTCTGGGTACTACAAGAAGTAAGATTTTGCCTCAAATTGGCAGAAGTTCAAGTCCAGAACATACCACAAATGGAACATCTAGGAGTCCAGACACAGGAAGTGGTGCTCTAATTGAAATGAGAGATGCCAATCAGTTGACAGACGAGGCAAGAAAGCAACTGATGTCAAGAGGTCGATCCGTTTCAGAAATTAAATTGGGTAATGATTTTTTTTTGTTGGTGAGGTTTATTTCATTTGTTTATATTGACATTTCATTTTTTCATTTGTTAATTATGGCATTTCATCTTTTCATTTGTTAATTATGGTGTTTCATCTTTTCATTTGCATCTTATTTATATGTGTATGATTAGATAGTTGTACAAATATTTATGCTTTTCATGATTGCTGCTGTTTTGGTCAGGGAGGAGTACTGCTTCAGTCATTTGATAGCATGAAATTTTAATTATCAGGAGTGTCAATGTTTTGTACTTCCATCTTAATAAAGAAAAAGGAAAGTGACCAGCGAAAGTATGTGAATCTCAGCATTTAGTTTTAGATGTGGATATTTTCAGAACATATTACACCAGGATTTTATTTAAACAAAAAATTAAGTGAATTGTATCTGTTTTTGAGACAACACCAGCAGTGGGATGACGAAGTAACAATTAAAAAAAAAAAATAAAAACCAGGAAATTAAAAAATTCTCAAATTTAAAATTTGTTTTGGCACCATAGATGTCGAAATATAAAAAATGATTAGTGGTTACACGGAGAACTCTTATGTCTCTGAGGCCTTATTTTGACAATTTTTTTATTGTAATGCTAATTTGGATGAATCCTACATTTTTAGTTGGTTTTATTAATATATGCCTGGATATCAGATGAACTTTGATGACCTTTGGTTAAATTTATCATTTTTTTTGTATTCTTTAACTGTACAGGTTACAATTCATGACTAACTCGTAATCATTGAATTTCATTATCTTTTTTGTTCTCAACTTTCCAATATCTTAAGTGTCAGATCTGCTACCTACATATATAAATTTATTCGTAATCTTTTAAAATCTTGTGAAGGATATCTCCTTACATATCCACCTCCCCAGGTATAGGCCGGCAGAGCTCTTTGTTTGGATCAGTGAGCACTGATGATGAAAGCCTAATCTCTGAGAGACATGTAACCCGATTCAGTCGGTGGGTAATCTAAGATTATTTGCAGTTATTTTGAAGTTTCCCATTTTATTCTTTCATTTTAATGCATTCATCAATTCACCAGCATTAAGTTATCCAAAATTCTGTGTGAATGGAATACATTATTTTAGAATTGACATAGAAAATTTGAGTTTATAACCTAATATGTACATGAAGTCTTTCAGATGATTCAGAAATAAAAAATTTTATTTAGGGATATAAAAATTCAGAGGCATCCATTGATGTCAATATGTAAAATAAATATACCACAAAATTTGCAGAATTATTTATTTACAAAGTTATTCTGTAAATCCTGACCATTTTAACTAAGCACTTTGTCTTAATTAAAGAAAAAATTATTCCTATTAATTCTATAGCAAAAACTAAAAGCCCATATTTCCTAATCAAAATTGTTATAAATACCAGTTATTTTACCTGTTCTAAAGCCAAAAGTTTTTGGAAATATTTCTGGGGAATAAGTGAGGCTGTTGGCTTATGAATTGGCCGTGAGAGTTTTATCATTTTTTATAGGTAAATTGATTATATCCTAGAAAAAAATAGAAAAATTCAAGTAGCCAAAGTCAACTTAAAGCTGTGTGCAAGTTGAGACACAGGTTTTGTCAGCATTTTGTGGCTGCTTTGATTGGCAGTGCTTAGAGAGTACCATAGGGCCTTCATTGAATAATTGTCAGATTGTCATGTTTATAAGATTGTCACAGCATTTGAAATTCATTTTTTAAAAAAGCATTAGATCTAGTATAGAAGGTAATATTAATGGTATTTTTCTCTATACAGAACATCACCAGTTAAAATGAAAATAATAAATGGTGAGCAATCAAAACACAGAAGGTCAGGTTCTGACCCTTCAACACCTAGCATGAGAGATTTGGCTGAGTGCTGTGACTCCATTCTACCTCCTTCTAAAGGTGAGCTCACTTAAAATATATTATTACAATAGGCATGGTATGTAATAAAAATAACCGAATTGAAATCCATGTAGTAAACTTATTATCTTATCACAATCATTTGAAATTTGTTTAAGTTTTTAAACCCCATGTTATTCTTTGTCCTTCACATGCGAATTCGGACTTGAGTTAGCCTTGACTTGGGCTGTATTTTTTTGAAGTAAGGGAGAGCTGCTCAATTCCTCAGCCTTCTCTCTCTCTCGTCCTGGCATATTTATTCCAATGACAAGACTCAGGATGCAGTAGATGACTCGCAAGAAAAAAACTGCTTATATTTAAACTGCCAACTCAAGGTCAAGCTGCTGATATGTTCTACATTGCAGGAGTTGCCTGAATTTTCATTGTGTCAGTTTCATACCACCTATGGGACACCATTTTCGGGTTCGGCTAATCCCTGTACATTAAATAATATAACAACAGTGGTGAACTCCAAAATAAATTATGCGCTCTTTATATTTTTTAAATACAATTTTGAATATTAATAAACTATTGATGTGCAGCAAAAAGTAAGGTGGTCTCAAGTCATGGGCAGCATACTTTGAACAAGGCAAACCACACTTCCCAGACTTTCATTACACAGGGCAGTTGTACTGTGGACAAGGTAATTGGTTTAATGTTAGGTTTCCATCTTTGCCTTATTCTTATTTCACAACATATTAAAAGTGCAATATTTAAAAAAAAACAACATATATCTGAACATATCACAATAATAAAATGGTGCCCTCAAAAATTTTCAGTCCACAAATTCTTGAAGGTCTGAGGACAAAACTTAATTATATCTAATAAATATAATTTTTGCTAACTTATAAATACAAAAATCACTTTAATGAAACAAATAAGGTTATAATATTTAATTGAATTTTGTAATGTAAAAAAACCAAACAAAATAAATGATTATGACATTGGATTGGAATGTTCCAAAATTACATCTATCTAGTTGTCTCTAAAAAAGAAATATGACAGCATTATGTTTAGTTGCTTCAATCACAGTAATAAAACACTGCATGTACTTTTGCTAAAATTAAAGTTTTTAAAGCACTTATACTTATTCATAATGAAAATTAATTACTTTCTGTTATGTTTAATTTTGCTTGATCTAGAGGCTCAGTCCTGATAATGAAGTTTTCACAGTGGCCGGGTCCCTTGATGAGCTTCCCAGATGCCACTCAATCTTAAAAGAAGAGTTTGTGATAGCAGAGAGCAGGCCAAGGGAAGTGGCCTCAGGAAGTGACCCCACATCCAGCAGTTCCAGCAGTCTTTCATCGAGCTCGCCTCGAGATCTGGCCCTGCTTCAGCAGTCTTGCACCAGGACTCACAGGCATGATCTTGCACAGCTTGAAACACTGGTAGAGCAACAAGCATTTATTTCCACTTCTGAGCTGCGTGGTCTTGAAGGAGGTGTCAGGCCCATAATTAGAAAGCCCAGGCAAAGAGTTAGGTCTGAGAACTCGCTGTCATCATCACTTGAATCTGAGAGTGAAGTTGATGTGAAAAGTTACAAATTGTTATCAAGTATCAAGTCAAGGAATAAAAGCTGCAAAACAGATGATAAAATAATTTCAAGTTCTTCAGACTCTTCTTCCAGCATTCACAGGAGTCAAAGCCTTGAGGTCATATCCCCAAGGTCCCCAATGGATTCTTCTGTTTCTCCCATTTTCCAGATAAAACAAAATCCCCTTTCTCACTCCGATGACAACATTAATTTCTCCAAGAAAAAAACTGGGATGCAACTCTCTTCCAAATCTTCAAACACAGGAGAGATTTCAAAACTTGAGAATTTGCAATCAAGAAAATCATTTCATGTCATCACAGATAAAACATCACAGAAAACAATGACGGTTAAACCTTTCAGTGGCAAGGCTCGAGTTCTAGTCTCCACTGAGTTTGAAAACTGGGTTAGCGGTGCAAATAATTTGTCAACCATCACAATTAAAAAGTCAACATCTAATAAACTGAAATCATCACCAGCCACAAAAATTCATCCACATATGGAGGGTATGTCGACTGGCCAAGATCCTATCATTACTTCCCCCCACAATGATGAGAGCCCAAGCAAACAACTGAGTGTCCTTAGGAACCATCAAGGTGGATCAAAAGAAGGGGAAGCCAATCCTAAGATCAGGAATCAAATCCTAAACAACAGTGAGTTCTCCCATGATATGGAAAATGTGAAAGCTCAGCACAAAGAAACCAGACCAAAGTCTTCCACAAAGAAATCGCCTGAAATTTCAACAATGGATTCGAAAAGGAAATCTGTAAATAAAGCAGCTTTGATTGAGAAAACAATTTTCAATAACCAGAGGCCAGACTCTAAAGTCATTGAAAACATTAATGTTTTAAAATCTGGTGATGGTCAAAGCTTGAAAGTCAACAAAGACAAGGAATCAGTCACAGCCAAGAGGGTGACCCAGCATTCATCTATCTCTCTTGTCAGGGCTGGCATTGCCAAATCTGTCAAGAAGGTCATGTCAGTAAAACAGATGACCCCAACTTGTAAAAGCACACCTGCCAAAATCCAGACTGCTCCTGCCAAAACTAGTTCAACACAAAATCCCTCAGACGTGAAACCAGAAGCTAACTCTGATGCTAGTTCATCAGAAAGTTTTCCACAAAAACAAAATGAAGTCCCTGAAACCATGCCCAACACCATCAGTCACTCACCAACCAGCTTTCAATCCCCTAGCAATAATTCAGCTAAAGCCTCTTACACAAAAGCTTCAGTGAAAACAGGGCATTCATTTCAAATTACATCTTTAGGTTTACAAGACTCTATACAGAACAGAGCCACACAGCCTGTAACCTTGGCACAACAAGTTCAAAGTTCAGTTCAGTTTAATGGCCAACCAAAAGAGGCCACTGTGAACAGTGAGGTCAAGGTCAACTCGTCCAATGTTTTACTCCAAACTCAGAACTCTGTTGCACCAATTACTACCCCTTTCATTGTTGATCCATTTGCAGAATTCGCCCAATCACATGTCAGTATTATAGAGCCTCCAAGCAAAGATGCTGGAGCCAAGCTCAAAAAATCTATTTCTGGAAAACATCATAAAAAGGTGAATAGCTCAAAGAGGCCGAATTCTGGCAGCTCTAGACAGTCATCGGCCAGCAAGAAACGAGTGGGAAAGGGGAGAGAATTGAAGGCAGAGAAAGAGCCAAGGCCCAGAAGCACCAAGAAAAATGGCAGAGGAAAAAATGAGAAAGAGGATGAAGATGAGCTTTATGACATGACCGAGGCCATACGTACAGATGTAGCTCTAGTGACAGGTATCGGTTGGCAGATGGAGACTTCATGCTCCAACATGGAGAATATAAAGTTGTCAAGGGAGATAAATCTATCTGACAGTGATACAGAGTTCACTGACAGGGATCAAAATACCAAAAATATGCAGTTGCTGAAAATATTTAAAGAAAATTTAGCCGAGCCTTCTCCCAGATTTTTGGAGATGAAGCGCCAAGAATCTGTCATGGATATGGAACTTCCTGTTGCAGAGGATGATGGTTATCCCCCGATGAATCTTGACATGACAAATCAATTTCCTAAAGTCTTTGAGGGGAAAGACTGGAATGAATCAAAAAGTTATGATTACCAAAATATTTATCACAATGAAAGGTCTCTGGGCCATCTGACGACTATTTCAGAAGCATCCTTTTTACTACCGTCTGCGGGTAGCATCTCAGATATGGACACGAGTTTACAAAGGAAAACGAAGATTCAACATCAGGAAACATCTAATGGCACTAAGCTTGTTGTAAATCCAGAAAAAAGAAAACTGGAGACAGAGGAGGATGTATCCCACAACCTGAAAGGAAAACTCAAAAATCAAAATCAGAGAAGCTCACAAGAGGGTAAGCCGGCTGAAGGATCTCACAGTGCTGTGCAAAGAACCCAGAGCTTAAAAGAGATGAAAGGCACAAGAGCTGAACTCAAATTCTCAGAAAAAAGAGAAAACCCAGCTAAGGAGGACAACAGAGAAACTGCCGAGAATGATTTGGATGACGTCATAGAGGAGATTTTATCCTCTACAACATCATCTCTTTCATCAACCCTGAAAAGTGCCAGTCATTTTGGTGGCCTTAACTCAGGATCTCACACCTTGACCTATGGTGACCGGAAGATTTTAGCCAAGATGACAAAACTCAATCAAGATTCTCCATTCTATGCAACCAGCTCCCTGACTCCCACAACTGGCAACCACAAGGAGAAAATCAGCCCTGTGGTGATGGAAGTAGGAGACTATGAAAATACTTCTCCGTCGTCCAGGTCACCCACAAAAGAGAAAGAGCAAGATGATTTCTCTCGGCTTAAGCCACCCTCATCAGCACGCTATTCGCTCATGGAAGAAGGAACGCCACGTCAAATGTCCGTCAGGAGATCTTGCTCGACTAAAGCTGTTCGGAGACGAACAATGGATCAGGTAAAATTGAATTAGTCAAGATGGCATCAGTATTCATAAGCAGATTTCCTGCTTGTTGACTTACTAATCTTTTGTATATTTTATGAATGTAGCCTCTCATAATGTAGCCTCTCATATTGTAGCCTCTCATAATGTAGCCTCTCATATTGTAGTATTCTTACCTCACCTTTACTGTTCATATTTTTATTATCTCTAAAAATTAATTTTGATCTTTAATCAAGTTACAAAAAATGTTTGTTTAGTAAATAATTTTAAGTGAAGTTTTAATTTATTTAAATTGAATGAATAAAACGTCCCATGTGTTAATTGTTAAGTGAATAGATCTTACATTTCATGAAGATTTCTACAGCTTAGGCTCCTGCTAAAAACATTTCAACACATAAACATTTTACAAAATATACTAGTGCTACAATCTTAAAATTCACAACAATTTTTCAACTTTTAAAAATAATTTTATACCTTAAAACTTTTTGCCAGATATGGAGTCACAGAACAATTTACGCAGATCTATTGCCCAATTTTCTCTAAGGGCAGTAGTGAGCTCTCAGACTAACAGCCTCCTTTTCTGAGTTCTGTAGACACAAGACAAAAAACAGTTGAATACAGTTAGCGAGAAATGAATCACTTTTTTGTTGTTTTGAGCTTCCTGTGGTGATTCAGGTTGTCCTTCTTTGATATCTTGGTCAAGAGTTGTTTCCCATGCGAATAATTAAAAAAAGCTCATGAGCTAGGCCATATTTCTTTCTGTTTAATTTCACAGTCTTTGAAGTTTCTACAAGTCTTGAAAAAAACGCTTAATCCAATGCCTTGATTTTTTAAAGACTTTGTTGGTACCATAATTTTACAGTGAGTGAAATTGAATATACATCCATGTTTTATTTTTATTGCTGTATCTAATTTTTATAGTTAAAAAAAATGTATTGATATATTCCTAACCTGCCAGAATGTAGGTTCAGAGGTTAATGAAGAAGAAGCCAAGCACCTGGCCAAAGTCATCAACAGTTTCAAACAAATGGAGTTGACACCGTTACGCCAAGATGGTGGCTCTGCCAAAAGTTCCATCAGGAGCAGTGGCATCTTGCTTGCGACACATGACTTAAGTGGGACCTCTAGACCTGGTTCCAGCAATGGCTCTTTTAGGTCAAAAGGGAGGTTTCGTGAGCTCAAAGATGGGATCCATTCAAGCGTGGCCATGATGTCAGCTGATGCAAAACTGACAGAAAAGCTGTCTGTCAAGGTAAAGTTCCTTTTAAAAATCAATCAATGTATGCTTTATGTTAACTGGTGACTGTTGATTGTGCTTACTTATTTCTCACAGATCTTTGTCAGAACCTATTTTTTTTTGTATGTAAAATCCTAAGAAAAATTATTTTTATTAGCGTTCATTGTTTGCCAATGTCAATTTTTTTTTTTTTTTTTTTTTTTTTTAAATTTTTTTTTTTTTTTTTTTTTTTTTTTTTTTTGAAATTTGTTATGAAGTAGAAAATAAACTTCTGTAAAAATTAATTACTGTCATTTAATCACAATGAAGTAAGGAGGTGTAGAAAATATTTAAAAATAATAATTCATTAAAATAATTGAAGCTATTAAAAAATTAAAAAATGACAATTGCAAAGATATGAATTGAAGAAGCAAAGATCTAAAAACACATGCGTTTATGAAAAGTGATTGCATTATCTACAGAATGATGCTATCAAATTTGGAATCTCAGAGGAAGAGGCGGAGCTTCTTGAGAAACTGTCAGCCACAGATGCCAACCCTGTAACAATCCCAATCTTTGAGGTAATTACTGTACCAATACCATTCTTTGAGGTAATTACTGTACCAATACCATTCTTTGAGGTAATAACTGTACCAATCTCAATCTTTGAGGTAATTACTGTACCAATCCCAATCTTTGAGGTTAATAACTGTACCAATCCCAATCTTTGAGGTAATAACTGTACCAATCCCAATCTTTGAGGTAATAACTGTACCAATCCCAATCTTTGAGGTAATAACTGTACCAATCCCATTCTTTGAGATAATAACAGTACCAATCCCAATCTTTGAGGTAATTACTGTACCAACCCCAATCTTTGAGGTAATAACTGTACCAATACCATTCTTTGAGGTAATAACTGTACCAATCCCAATCTTTGAGGTACTTACTGCACCAATCCCAATCTTTCAGGTAGTAACTGTTATGTTTCAATACAATCCAGAGAGAAATCTTATACCCACTTTTTAAATTGTCTTTACAGATTTACACTTAATTTACTTTCTTATAATGCCCCTATTGTCCCTCACCTGGCTCAAAGCTTCTACGGTTAAATAACTTCTCAATGCTACTTTTGTCATTCCCAAGACTCAATGAGATCATGTCCTTAGCTGATTTTTTTCCATTTCTACTCTGAGCTCCAGCAATTAAAAATAAATTGCTATGATTATGCAGCCTTTTTTTTCTTTGTACTCCCTTGATGTTATAAGTAAATAAATTGTTGTAAAAGAATATTGTATGTTTTTATCGGATTTTATCAAATTTGCTCAAAATTAGGAATGCGCAAGGATTTATTTGAGTACCCTCAAGCTCGGAGCAGTAAGAATTTTCGCCAGCGCCACTACCCTCGTTTTTTTATCCCCCCTTTTTTTATTACAAATTCTGCATTTAAATCTTCTTTTTAAATTTTATCAATTTCTTCGTACACTGGAAATTCCATTTTCGTAAAAACCGTTCAGTGATATGGCCAAGCCAGGAGCTACTAGAGTCTGCCATGCGTAGTTCTTTATTTCATGCCTTGTCAAGTTGTCTGTCAACTTTGACGGATGATTAATTTCTGTTGTTCTATTAGTTTCACAGCACATAGCTTTTAGATAAAGAAGAGTTAAACGTCCTCTGTATTTGATCTGTTTTTTTTGTTTGCAATGTAGTGTTTTTTAAAGTAAATATTGATAGCAGTTATCCTCTTCATGCATTATTTGGTTTCACATCTCTACATTTAGAAAGAAATATGTTTTCAAAGTTTGATTAAAACAAATTCAATGTTATTTGCGATTTTTTAAAATTTACAATCATGACAGAAGTTTAAAAAAAAGGAGAGTTTTCATCTCTGCTCTAATCATTGTTACGTTTTCAGAAGAGCCTTACAGAGACCCGTCGTGGCAGCCTGACCAGCAGTGAGTACAACATGGACACCATCAAAGGTGAAGATGAAACGATTCAGTGGAAGAAGGGAAACATCCTGGGCAAAGGGGCTTTCGGCACTGTAAGTAGGGAGGTAGTAGGGGTAATTTAAATGGGGCTTTCAGTACTGTAAGTAGGGAGATCATTAGGAGTGATATTAAATGGGGATTTCGGCACTGTGAGTAGGGAGGTCATTAGGAGTGATATTAAATGGGTCTTTCATCACTGTCAGTAAGTAGGTCGTTAGGAGTGATATTACATTGAAAATGATTGTCACGAGATTCCCAGATACCGATACCAACACTTGTGCAGTTGTTTAGTATTACTGTTTTCAAACATTCCTCACTGATCATATTCTACAGTAATTATATATGTTACTATCTAATGTCATTGATTGAACCGCTCATCCTAAAGCATGTTAAAACCTCTGGCTTCTCCCTCTTGCCAGGTGTGGTGTGGACTGACCAATGAAGGCCAGCTGATAGCTGTTAAACAAATAGAGCTGACCACAATGGATAAGCTGAAGGCCCAGCTTGAGTATGAGAAGGTGCAAGAGGAGGTTGAGCTGCTGAAGACTTTGGAACATACAAACATTGTTGGGTAGGTCACTGACAGGCACATACAAACATTGTGGAGTTGGTCACTGACAGGAAAATACAAACATTGTGGCTTAGGTCACTGACAGGAACTAAAAAATCATTTTTAAGCAAGTTAATGAGAGTAAAATTGTTGAATAGGCCAATATCATCAATTTGTTGATAATGTTTGCGAATTTATTATTGACTGAATATTTTACCCTGTGTCTTCCAGCTACTTGGGCACCAGCCTAGAGGACAACATTGTGAGCATCTTCATGCAGTTCATCCCTGGGGGCTCCCTTGCCAGCATCTTGGCCAGGTTCGGTGCTCTGGACGAGGCAGTTTTCAGGCGGTACACAAAACAGATTCTGGAAGGAGTCAGATACTTGCATCAGAACGATGTCATTCACAGGTCAGAGTCAGATACTTGCATCAGAACAATGTCATTCACGGGTCAGAGTCAGATACTTGCATCAGAATGATGTCATTCACAGGTCAGAGTCGTTAAAGTTAAGCTGGTCTCACCCTCTCAAGTTGTGGCCCTGAAACACAGTGGTGGTTGGGTCGTATCCAGCTATTGTAAAACATTTGATTGAAATTAACTCATCAGTCTAGTTAGGAAAATACTTTTGCTGAGGATGTAATTAAAGAGTTACTAGGCAGCTGAAACGTCTCGAGGAAAAAAAACAGATATTATTATTATTATTATTTAGGTATTTTTGTATAGCACTTACCTTACAGCTCTAAGCGCTTTACAATTATTAAAAATATGTAAACTATTTAAACTGCTAAAGTAAAAATAAAATGAAAAACCAAAGACACTAGAATAGTAACTACAATCTGAAAAATGACTATAAAAACAGTAGCTAAAACATTAAAATGGCTATAAAAACAAGTACACTATTATATGTCAAATGATCATGCTTGCAAGCTAGAGATGGACCCTCCACAAGAAAGCCAAAAATCTTCTCAATTATCATGCTAGGTTTATTGTTGATTCTTTAGGGGCTATAACTTACAGTACAGTTGTTGAGCTTGTGTCACACTGCTTACCCTAGCATAGTAATGTAAAGGGTCAACTTATGATTGAGTTAAACACTTTTCAGGCTTTTCCCCACCAAAACTAGGGGTTGTCGGCTTGGCTTTGACCTTATTAGTTGTGTGGCCATGTGTACCAAAATGGGCCCTAGTTATCTCTGCCATTTTATGGGTCTCTTTGAATGCATGGTAGCAATGGCATATATTGGATGTGTACCAGAATTTTACAAAAAGTTAATTGATGATGACATCAGCATAACTAATATAGATACAAGGGAACTACAATAATTTATTGATATTTTTAACTCATTCCATTCATGAAATGGTTGACTACTTCCAGTCCAGATCAAATCCTGAGACCACCCTTCATTTATTACAATGGAATGTCCTGATAAGGTGGATAAATCTAAGGTGCTAATTTGATGTTGATAAATCTATTTTTCAGAGATTTGAAAGGTGCCAATGTGATGTTGATGCCCAATGGAGTGATCAAACTGATTGACTTTGGATGTGCTAAGAGAATGTGTATAAACCTGAGCATATCCCAGACAGAGATTCTCAAATCAATGAAAGGAACACCATATTGGATGGCTCCTGAAGTTGTCAATGAGACTGGACATGGTAAAAAATCTGACATATGGTGAGTTTTAAATGTCAATGTCTTATTTCAACAAATAATAATTCTTTCACTTAAAGCAATAAGTTATTTTTCTTGCCGAGAATAAATTTAGGCATGAAGTGTGTCATCAATAATTTAGATTCAAGTGTGCAATGAATAATTTAGACTTGAAGTGTGCAACTATTAATTTAGACTTGACGTGGGCAATGAATAATTCAGATTTGAAGTGTGTCATCGATAATGTAAACTTGAATTTTCTGAGCATTTTTAAATGGACAAAAACAGTCTTCCAGACTTTTAGCAACAGAAATGATTCATCATGTGATTTTGAGTACTGTATAGTTTGCAATGACATCAATTTCCAATGTATCCATTTATTAGTTAAAATCTGCTCAATATCTGGTAACCCAGTCAGGTACTATTTCTCTGAATTGGAAATGGCAGCTTACAAAAATATTTACAATGAATTTTTGTTTACAACTTTTGACAATGGCCCCATCTCAACATGTTGTATTTAAACTTAAGCATAGAGAAATAAGATAAAAAGGAACCATGATAATTTGCTATCCCCCTTCTCTCCCAGCCTCTTCTTAGGGCCGGCTCAAGGCACTGGCAACTCAGGCAGTTGCATGGGCCACAAGGTGCCTAGGGCACCATCAACGATCTTGAAAAAATATGACAATGCATTGCATGTGGGTGCAATGGAAAAAATATAATTTATATTGCCAAATGCTTGTACGTAATATTACATAAATCGTATGCTCGTGCATGGGAAGTGGTGGAAAAATTTGCTGATGAAAAAGACAGCTGTTGCCTTTGTGGGTGCATGGAGCTCTTTTTTCTTAGGTTATTTTTATGATAAGACTTAAAACAAATGCAAAAGATGAGATTGCCTGGGGTGAAAGCAACCATAGCTTCGGCCCCGACTCTTCCCCTCAGTGCCACAATCTGGTTTATGAAAAGTACTCATTTTGCAGCTTTTTTTGCAAGAATAAAATAAAAGTCTAATGTTTAAAAATTATGTTGGTTGCCATGAGAGTTCTGAAATGAACAGCTGCCAATACAATGTTTTAAACATGCTGTTTTGTAATCTGACACAGGAGTATTGGATGTACTGTCTTTGAGATGGCCACCCGCAAGCCACCATGGTAGGTTTATAGTCATTCTTACACATATGTAAACATTTAAAGTTGCAACATCTGACAATTCGGGTGGGAGGTGTCTCAAACTCATCCCTAAGTTATTAGTGTTAAATGTTTTGTTAATAGTCAATGCTTAGTGAGAGTCATGTCGTGATTTGGTCCAATGGGCCATCTAATATCCTCATGGGGTCCTTTGGTTAGTTTGAGAACTTGATGATGTAAAAACAGTAATTTATTACATTCTTCAATGATTAGCTTTGGCTTGGTTTCTACTGCATTTTAATAATATTTTTAAAAATTAGGTCAAACATGAATCCTATGGCTGCCATATTTGCCATCGGCTCCCCGGAACGGCCAGTACCGTCACTAGATGAGAAGTTCTCAGAAGGTGCCAGGAACTTTGTTGAGCAGTGCATGACAAGGTAACTGTCACATCGTCAACACTTTTAACATGAATTAATCTCGCTCTATTTATATTCAGAACCTTATAGAAACAGAAAAAGTTGCCTGAATTATTTTTAAATAAAAAATTTTCTCATCACAGAGATCAGGAGCTCCGTCCTGATGCTCATCAACTTTTGCAGCATCCCTTTATTATCAGGAGGCCCAGCAAGAAGTCATGAATTAAATGTCTGCCTCTGCAATATCCTATTCCATGACTGTAGTCTTATCCATGTGGAGGCTTGCATGGCAATGTATTCAGTGTCAAGGAGCATGGGGTATAAAGCTCATATTAATGACAAGGAGTTGTGGTACTCAAGTGATTTTTAATAACAAGTTGGGATTCATGTTTCACTATGAAAAATATACCTATTGTCACATGTGTCACATGTAGTAACTAAGAGATGAAATATTTTATCTTTGATGATTGTTGACCAATTGATTGATATTAATTTGACTGAATCAAATTCCATTATTGTAATTTGATGTTTTCATTAAATACAGTAAATTGTTTAATATTGTTCATGTTTTGCAATTAAATCTGCAGAAATTATCAAGAAAATATTTGTCAGCAAAGAGTTTTTATTTTCCCAATAAAAGTATCATCCTTTTTCAATATTTTTAACAGGACATGCGTAAAAATAATGCTAAGATTTATATAATGAATTTTGAAATCTCTTTTTTTTTTTTTTTTTTTTTAACATAAATTAAATTTTAAAAGTTAAACTAAAAA